TAATTGTTACCCAAAAGGATTCTGAAACTCAGTAACTGAAGGAGGAAAGTAAGTCTCAGCATTTGCTTCCTCGCTAATGATATGTGACAACCAGGAAGGCTTCTATTTCAAAAACAATAATAATGATTACAACTTCCCCTGTAAACAAGTCACATTTTTTGCAACTTCAAATTGTACTTCAGTTATTATAACACTTAACAATAAAGCAGCAAAAGTTGCCATCCAACAATGGACCACAATTTTAAGGGTTTAATACGGCTAAAGGAAACTACTTTTGCAGGATAGCGATGAGGTTTCTGGATTCTCTTTTTTAGCGCTCCAAAGCGTGTGTAATAAGAGTGCAAAGTCCAGTCCAAAAATCAGTCAGGCTGACTTAGTTTAAACTCTAATCTGTTAATTACATGACAACAGTTACTATCTCTTGAGATCTTTAAACTTCTTGGTGTGTGGTGACCTCTCTTTTTCTCTAAAACCCCTCCCTGCCTCAGAGAAAGGCCAGTCGTCCCCCACCACCACCCCCTGCCTTTTTCTCCTTCAGACAGGACACAGTCTGGCGACTCAAGGCCTCCCATAGGCCAGACTTCCTTCTGTGCAGCCCTTTGGGTAGAACTGCTAATCCTTCTTATTAATTAACGAGATAACAGTGGTTAACCGGAAAGCAATATTAATGCTAACTATCTAGGAAACTTCAACCAAAATTATTTTAGCCTTTTGGTTGGTTTTCCCAGTGCACAGAATTGTGCACTGAAAATTTGGTAACATTTTGACGCAGAACTGAGAAATTCTGGAATGACTGATTATATCACACCTTAACACATAGGTTTCCTCTTTCCGGGTTTCTCTTCCTTTTTTTTTTTTTTTTTTTTTTTAACATTTACCCTGTTACACATTATTAACTGGGGAGAAAAGTGAGGTCCTCTCAACTTGTTACTATAAAATCTGGAAGTGTGGAAACTGAAAGGACTAGAAATTGTATGATAAATAAGCAGTGATGTGATTGAAAGCAACAGTCAGTCATAATGAATGCCTTACATAGCACTACATTCAGTTTGTCCTCCACACACTTGTCATAGTACACCCTGCATCCTACAGGACACTTATGTCCCAGGAAGGTGTGTTGTGCAAGGCTTGCCTGGTTGTTGTTTTGCTTTGTTTTGTTTTGCTTTCATGAATGCAATAACAAAGACAATATGGGGAATAGGTACCACCTGCCCAAGAATCATTGGACATCTTTAATATCTTTGGGAAAATGGAGACCACTTTAGAGCTATTTTTTCTTTAATCTGTCACAATCTTTTTTTAAAAATACCCTAAAAAAAGAAAAGGTTTTACATTAACTAAGGTTTGCTGCAGCAAACAAGCAAGCAGCTTTCATTCAGGGATTGTCAAAAACTTTCCAGTGTGCCCACTGCAATGCGGATGCCAACCAACGAATCAAAGGCATTCAGCAACTAGACAAAGAGGGTCTGATGCCAACCTCGGTGCCACTGGCAACCATTATTGGCATCAAACACAGTGTCTGCCTTTTTTTTTCCCCCTCGCCTGGCACTTCACAAACAAAATGGCGGTTCTTGTAGCAACGAAACAGCCGAAGCGCAGCCCTCTGAATCAATAACGTCAAATGATTTTATGGATTTAAACTCAGTTAGTCCCAAATGATGTGTACATTTTAGGTTAAAGTGGGGGAGAGCACGTAATTTTATAAACAACTATATTGAACATGACCCTTTGCTAATGTAAGGAAATATTAAAATGGATTAAATTGCGGTCAACCAGACTACATGCATAGACGAAGCTGAATAACAAAGAGATTTACCTTTAAAGAACATACTGCCTTGCGGCCATGTGATGCAAAAGTCTAATGAACTACAGATCAAAAATTATTTCAAAATGCATAAATTTTTCCCAAAACCATATCAGATGCATGTGTAGCACTATAGTTTGTGTCAAAGCTCTAGTAACTCTTTCCACATTTCAGAAAAGATGAGGCTGCTGGGCATGAAGAAGGAAAAAAAAAGTGTGGGTTGAACCAAAAGAGAAAGAGGGAAAAAGAAAAGCATAGGAAGTTGGTCAACAATGGACCTTTATTATATGTTGGTCTTTATTTCATCCTCCAGAAGAGATGCAGTATGTGATCTTGTATAAATAACCAAGAGGACTATTGACATTTCTAGATCTGGAAATTGTCAATATATTGTAACATCACTCCACACTGCAATGCGGATGCCAACTAACAAATCACAGGCATCCTGAGCTAAACAAAGAGGGTCTGATGCCAATCCTGGTGCCAGTGGCAACCATCTTTGGCATTCTCTCTGTTCTTTCTCATGTTTTTCTCCCAGTCATTTACAAGTGGGGAGAAACAGAAAAAAGGGGGAAAAGGTAAATTTGTTGTTCATTCTGTTGCAAATATTACATTTTTCTTTTCAAATTTTTCTTGCATGGTTTTCTTTACCTGATTTATAAAACAGACTTAAGTGGATTATCATGTACTTAGAGGAGAAATAAAAAGTCATGATGTGAGATATGCAGTCTTCATTGACTACAGACTTATCTTTTAAAACTGCCTTCTTTAATCAATTGCACTGCAAAATGCCATAATTAACCTACCCTTGACAAAGAAAAAGGCATAAATTTTGAAAAAGAGAAAACACAAAAGCATCCCAATGTGACTTTTTCAAAGAAAGAGTCAACAGATGTTAGGAGAAGATGTTGCACTTGCAGGTAACAGAGGATACAAATTAGACATACAAGGTAAAATAATGATAGGTTCTTACGATAGAGATTGTGGAAACAACAGCAAAACTAATGTTTTATCTGAAAAATATGGTCTCCGAGAGTTGCTTAAAACTTTATAATTATCATGACCGATAGTGCAATGCAGAAGGCATTTATGCATTTTGCTCTTTTTTCAAACTATCTTCGCAAATCCAAAAGATACGTTCTTTATTGTCAGTTCATCAAAACTAAGAGAGTTGGCGGCCTGCCCCAGGAGTAAATGTGCATGCATGCACACCTCAAAAACTAGCCTTCAAGCAAGTTAAAATGTGAGCGGCAGTGAGGTGATTGCTAATCTTTCCTCTCTGCACTAAAAAGTTACATGACCCACTTTTAAAAACTTTACTTCCAGACTTGACTTTCACAACACGGTTACAAAACGTTTATAGTCAGTCCAACACATATATACAGCCCACCTTAAAATGTCACCTCCTAGACAGCTGTCAATCAAATTAAGTGTCATGTGTTAATGAGCTTTAATTTTAGGACATATAGGATGAAAATATATTTTTCTCAAACCATCATTATTTGGACTTTAATTCTTAAAAGTGTGGAAATAGTAAATGCAATGTTTCTTTTTTTTAAGAAAATGTAATATTTCCAAATGTGTGATGTCCAACACCATTATTCAAAATCAGACTAAAAATTATAAAATGACATTTAAGCATATCTCTAAAACTACATCAAGGAAATATCAAGATAAAAAGCACATAATAAGCACCTAGATTTCTGAGTCAAAAGAGTAATTTTAGTATTTTATTTTTTTGGATAATAATAAAGTTCATAGCAATTTATTAAATCCCACATTTATATAACGAACATCAGATAACCGTCTGCCACCTGGCTATCTGCAGGACATTTTCCCTCCCACCAGGCCAAGTTCGGAAATGACCCACCATCTGTGGCAGCTCAAACTTCAGTCCACTTTTGGTATGTTGCTTTTTTAAATGATGTTTTACTATGGACTGTTGCTAATGCAAAGATATCGATATCCTGACACATTTATTTGAAGAAAAGAAATTTTCACCTACTTAAGGAAAATATATTAAGAAAAATAAAAATAACAAATAAACATTTTATTAACTCAAACACTCAGCAATATCACCTATTTTTAATTATTCAGGCAACATTTATACCACTCTCTTTATCAAGTTTTTAAAATAATAGGTATAGTATGTGGTTTCTGCATTCTTTTTGAGATTTATTTTAAACCAGTATAACCAGTCCACTTTCTGTTTTTGTTCTGTAAGGAGAGCTGCGGCTTTCCTCCTCAGTAAGTTCCATGAATTTACATTCAAGTAAACTAACAATATTAAGTGTTCCCAAGTCACTCTGGGAAAATACGATAAATAATTAAACAAGAATTAAATTCCATTTAATCTACACCTAATATTGCACAATCAAAAGTAGGTACTGGTAGAACTATTAAAATTAAATAAATCTAAATCTACGAAAGATACAGATTTTGATACTGGCTAGCTTAAGCATTTTGTAGTAGTAAATGTTAATTCTATTTTCAGTGCAATAGCACTAGATTCATGAACAAAATTCCTCTACTTCATTAATTAAGAGGCCAATACAAAGATTATTAAAGAGTTGTTTGACTATTCATAAATAAAGTTACATTTTCAAATCCGGAAAAGACGACTAGATGTAAGAAATGCAGCCTAGGACAGAAAGTAAAGTGCAATAAACTGTATTTTTAGATTACTCTGTCCTTGAAAAAGTATATTATTTCAAAGACACTTGAAAACGCATCTCTTTGTGGTCTTTCTATAAATACCCAAGCCTATCCAGGTATGAAAGCTCTGTGCCTATTTGCATGGCTCGCACATGGCAATGAACATGTGAGTGAAAGTGGGCACACTGTACCCAGAGAGGGTGAGGAGATCTAGGGACCTCGAGGACCATCTAACCCAAGCCAAGCCAGAGATTCCATACACAGAGGTTTGTGGGCAGTGCTTGCCGTGCTAGAAGAAAGAACAATCTGCTCCTACCTTGCTCCTGCACGTAGTATGCCAAAAACAAATCAAGCTCCTTAACTGATACTGTGATATGATGTGGCTGGACACAAAGTGCTGGGTTTGTGCAATGTGGGGATTTCATGAGCCGCTCTCCATCGGTACTTTCCAAGGGGATGCCTTTGAACAGGATCACCATGACTAGATCCAGACGCCAGACTTTGTCTGCCTGTCGCAGGCAGTCGATTCTCCTAATCTTACCCTTCTGGTCGGGATTGGATAAGACACAGCACGGGTGCTTCTTGCCAGTCACGGTGAGCACAAAGTCCTCTCGATACTCCTGGCGAATATCTTTGCGCAGTTTGGCCAGGAGCCTGGATGCCCACTTCTGTTTGATTTCAGGCTTTTCACTGAGAAGCTCATCTTTGACTGCTCTTTCTTCATCCTTTGACATTCGCTTCTCATGCTTTTTAAAGTACTTGCGTTTTCGAGCCTGCAGGTTGAACCAAGTATAGGCGATTGCACGGACATGTGGAAGAAGTGCCTCGATGAATGGGTGAAATTCATCCTGTGGGAGACGAGGGAGGGAAAAAGATGTGCATAGTCAGTTTAATTTTTAAAAGCTCAAAAAATAAGACCACAATCCATTCCCAATTCAGTACAAAAAGTTATGCATGAAAACAGCATTCTTTCCTTATTTAAAATTATCAAAATAGCAGGACGAGAAAACAAAGTATGCCAAGCTGCCCCCTTTCCACCAAAATTCACAGGTCGATTCTCCCTCCTGCAAAGAAAATAAGGTTTATATTTTGTATTTACACTCTGGCCCCATCCCCCTCATTCCCACCCCAATGCCATGCATTCTACATTCTTTAAAACATATGCAACCAAGGTGCTTGGCACCTAATATTTAAATATTTGATTGACCAACTAACACTATGCAGTACCATTTTACAAAGAACACAGTGAGATTTTTTTTTAACCGAAGCAGAGCTGTTCAGAAGGCAGGAGCGATGCCACAGTTCATTTCTCTTCTCTGTGGCACAGAAACACAAAGCATATAGATGCTCAGTGTAATGCCACACAGTTCCCGCTTTTGGAGCATGCTCTCAGCAAGAGGCTGCTGGTGGCACAAAGAGCATGCGCCATTAAACTTGATCCATTTTCTTATCAAACGTCCAACATTCCAACACTGAAACAGCACCATTCCAAGAGTGGTAACTAGAGAAACCGGTATACAGTGAGGGAAAGTGGGCAAAGGACACAGCTTGTCGTATCGGTGTCCTGAACAGAAGGTTTCCATACTTTGAGCAGTGCATTCTCTCCCTGCACCAATAACACCAGCTCCCAGTTCTCTCTCTCCCTCTCTCATGCTCTCTCACACACACTCTTGCATTTTTCAATAGAAGTTTTCAAAGTCGAAAACAAAAATTACATGAATGTTCTTCCAGCAGCTTCCCTATAGAATATGAAGCCCCACAGAGTCAGTTAATTTGTTAACTGATCACATGAGTATGGCAATTATTCTAAACCCCTTAAAAATCAATCTGAGGTGAACAATGAAAAATGGCAACTTGGCACCAACTTTACATTCTTTGTGTCTCTGCATGCTGTGGCAGGGTGACACCAGGAGTGTACTGCTGGTCAGTTACTGCTTTTGTGGAATCCATACAATTCTTTTGCCACGCAGATGAATTCTCGGATAGAGCTTTGAGTGTACACATGCATGTGCTTATGAATTCACATGTGTATAGATTATATAGTACCCATCTTTCGAATTAAGTGGTTTACCGTTAGGCTTCTGTATTTTTCCTGCCTGTTTCATCCAAGCCTCTTTTTAAGGGAGGGGGCAGTGAGGAACAGCAGATAATCTTTACCTACAGATATTTCCAGTTACTTCCAAATACAGTCAGTGTTTCATTACTTCCTGACTTAGGTAAAACCTGTCTTATAAGCTTAGGCCTATTACTGTTCAGAGAAAGAGTTTAAAGTCCTGTGCAGGCACACCGTATGTATGCAATAAACCAAGATCTGAATCGAATGAAAACTTTCACTGGACCACTTTAATGATCACATTGACTACATTGTCATCCCAACCACAAAATAACTTTCTCTAACTGATCGCATCCCAAGTTAGCATTTACATACTCATGTTAGTTACCCTGAATTACGTGGAATAAATTCTATTTAACCAGCAGACTGATTAATTCCATTAGGTAAAGGTGATGAAAGTACAACTAATGACTCTCTAACAAAGAAAGAGTCAAAAAAATTCCATATAGTTATGAATGCATTTTAAGATGAAATTCAAAGTTTTAATGCTAAAGGTTGCAACATGTTAGCAGTTTAAAGTTCAGACACAGAAGAGGTGCATGTCCCATCCAATCAATAATGTAGTTATCAAGTATTCTAATGTATTACTATAAAATGTTCCTACAGCAGAATAAGTATGAATCAAAATTTTATAACGATACAGAATGCAGATGATTACATCACAGCATGAGGCATAACCAAATGCCATAGAGGAAATCATTAAACTGATCAGTAGTTTCCAGCAGAGATTTGAACAATTCAGTTACTATGCGAGCACATTAAACTAGGCCATGGAAAGAGTTAAACCACAATCTGTTCTTTGTGTGGGAAGGCAGCCCTGCTCACAGCAACCACAGCCCATGATAAGACCTCCCTATCTCTATACACTTTCTGATGCCATGCTTTTAGCTTTCACTGTAACTACAAAAACTTTGTTTATCCCCTTTAGAAATATATGCAAAAGGAAAGCCTGCTCAAGGAAACACGGACTTAAATGTGCTTGGGGAACTCACTTCCTATAATCTGACTTGTACTATGATTTATTGATATGACTGAAAATATGCATATATGCACTCATAAACTAGAAACTTGAGAATATAAAGAATACATGGGGCAGGGGTGGGGTGGGCTCTGCCTCATTTTATCCTTGTCATCCTTTTAAAAATGCAATATTATTTTAACAGATACTGAGCAACGCAGTAACACTTAAGTATTTATGTCCTTAAGTACTATGTTCAGTGACATTTCATTTTCTTATAAAGACATCAAACATAGTTTTGATTAAATTTGTTTGAGTTTCAATATTTGACCATAAACATCATCTATCAAACAACAAATCCCAAAATTGTAATAAATTATTTTAAACAGCCAGAATGCAAATTTGAAGGTTGAGTTTGGTAATTTTGTGTGCAAATGCATACAAAACACAGATTTTAAAGGTTGTTTTGAGTTTACTGTCAATGCTGTCAAATATTGTTTTAAAACGCATATTTTTAAAATTGATAAATACAAGTGGCAAACTTTCTCAGGCTACCAATTTTGTCTTATTAATACCTTTTAGGTCTCCACTGTTATATGAATTCCTTTTAAGTGAAATGCTTATTTGACAAGGGGACATATCCGCCCAAAATGATTGTAAGTGGAGATTTGCTATAAGTCACATATTTTTCTGCATTAATATGCCTAAATGTCATCTCCCAAGTATAACTGTTTTCTAATGCTGAGTAGCAATATATTCTTAAGATTGTGAGTGACATGAACGTGGAGCATAGTAAGTGTCCTCATAAAAAAAATGATTAAAATATTCCAATGTCCTAACTAATGGATTACGACAATAACAGTAAACAATTATGAGAATTATATTTTTTTAAAAAGCAAAATATATAAGTGATTTAAAATCAAACAGATCTATACTAGGGTAATATGCAACCTTGCTCTTTCAGAATTTTTATTAAAATGCACTGCTGTTCAGTAATTCTTTCTCTTTTAAAACTTCCTTTAGTTGAACTAAACTGACAAAGTACATAACGAAGTTCCAAATATATTCGAACATATTTATATATTTTGAATATAAAAGTAATGAGTCTTAATTCCACTAGGCATATTTATTTTTCTTCATGGAAACAATGGTTTCTATGAAAAAGATGGATAATCAGACCAATATAGAGGTGGAAGAGTAAATGCTAGGTGTTCTTGGAGCATTGCTATATAATAATAAACCAAGAAAAAATGCACCTAAAGAACTTAAAAAAACAACAAAAGAAGAAAAAAATTTCAATGCCATCATGCCAGTTGAAAGTTATATTATTAAGAGTTTACATTATTTTTAAACAAATTTTAAACCATATATGATGGTTTTTAACTTTCCTTTTACATCTGGTGTATAGTGATGTAGAAATACAGATTTATATTGATGTAATGATACTGTAGCACATCATTTTGCTAAATATCAACCTTAAGGGTAGCTTCTTTCTAAAACATAGGTACCTTATTGCAACAACTGAGATACTTTTTTAAAGTTTTCAACAAATTAAGAATGTTACTCTGTTTTGTATTTACATGTCCTTAAACATGTTTTGCTAGAGCTATTAGGCTTTTGTGATATAAAACTAAACTACTGATTTGATACAAAAGTAACTATTAATGTGGCCTCACTTGTGCAACACCTTACAATACCTATAAAGTCACATAGATATTAGTTAAGTAAAAATTCTTAAGCTGAAATTCCCTCTCTGGTATAGGCCTTAAATCCCCAAAACGGCTTTACCACATCAGCCTAGATTTATACTATTAAAATAGTAGGGAAGGTTAGTCATCCTGAATTAGTGTTGGTAAGTACGTACTCGTGAACACTAATGTGATAGCTGAATGGTTATGCTAAATATGCTCCTAACATTCCGTATGTCCCAATGCTACAATATTATTTTTAACTTACACAGATTACGATAAAACTAGTGACTTTTCAATACATATTTAGAGGAGACTGAAAATGCAATATAATCCATCACTAGTAATGTTTCTGAAAAGTTGATGCTGGAAATAGCAATATAGAAAATGCACAATTATTCACTCCTTTACAGGTGAGAATAAGTGATGCAGTACTTTGTAAGTGAAAAGCTTACTTCAGTTTGTTTTATTTGATCCCAGTGTAAAAATAATATCAAATAGACATGGTTTACCAGAAAGAGAGAAAAATATATCCAGCTGATTGGTAATATTAAAGGTAATTTTTACAACTAAAGGCAATCCCTCATACCTGCAACAGTTTCACCATATTTATTGGTTATTATCAGTCATGGCTTTTAAAAGACAAATAGCTCAGCAATTCATTTTCCCAGTTTTGTTAAATTAAAGTGCATGTTTACTTGCTGAAAATAGCCATATCTAAGTTAATCATACTCAGATGCCAAACAAAATATAAACAATAAAAAATGTGTCAGCCAAAAAGCTACAGGACTGTATCCAATCACTGAATAAGCCTTATCATTGTTTTCATCTTCATTCACAATTTATGAATGCCTCAGTCCTTTTGAATCACAATGGCTTCTAATTGTCATACAATTGAAATCTTAATTATTTGTCCATTAGAAAAATGCATCATCGTAATATTAGATTTTTTAAAAATTTTAACACACCCAAGAGTAGCGGGCACTTCTTTAAATGATTAGTTTTTATGTCAATGTCAAAGAAAATGGTTATCAATTAATTACCAATCGTGACACATCCTCTTAAAAGCTGAAGTAAACCGTTCCATATCTTCAGAGGTTTAAAATACTGCTACAAATAACAATTCTGGGCTAAGATATTTAGTTAGTTTGTCAGTCGATTAGTTCGCTGGGCAGAGATGAAAACTGCCCCCAGGTAAGTCCGTTCGGTATCGCCACTTTTCCATTTAACCGTCTGGTTTAAAATGATATAAACCGTGTTTTTAAAAAAGTATAAAGCCAGTGTGTTTTACTTCATAACGTTGTTCCTATGGTCTTAGGACAATTTTCAAAGTAGAAAAAAAAATGACCTTACTTTTCCAGCATTACTTAATGCCTTACGAGCTACGCCCAGATATCGTCAAACGAACAGGTCTCCACAAAATGAGCATGTTCTAAAACTCCTTAACGTTCACCACGACCACCTAACTTGTGTCAACGTAAAGACCGCCTTTGTGGTGCGGTCACTGGAAACCCCCAAGTGTGGCGGGTTACTACGGACCAGGGTTTCAGATCCCCAAATAATGCGAAGGAATGGGTCCCCCGACCGCAACCTCCGACTCGCTCCGTCGCCCGCCCACCGCCTGCAGCGGAGTCCAGAGGCGCCCACACAGACTCGCGCTGGAGTCCTCTAGCCCAAGTTCGCCGGCTGTTTTTAGGAGCTCAGTCCCCCTAAAGTCCTCTAAGGCCCCGGCCCGCCTCAGCACGCGAGCTGCCGAGAGGGGCGGCAGGCACCCTGGGCAGGGGTGCCGCGCCGCAGCCGGCAACTGGGGGGCCGCGCGGGGACTCGCACTCGTGGGCCCCGGCCCTGCCCACCCCCAGCGGCCTTGCCTGGCCGGGCGCCCGCTCTCCGTGCCCAGGGCGCGGGGCTGGGCGCGCGCGGTGGCCGTGGGCGAGGGGCCGTGCTCTGGCTCCCACGCCGCCCCGCAAAGCCCGCCGCAACTCCGGGCCACTTCTCCGAGGGACTGGGATGTGCGGAGGTTAACTAAAGCCTTTAATTGTCCGCAAGATGAGAGCAACAAAACAAAACAAAGGCATTTCGGGCCAGAGAGAAAGCTCGAGAAAGCGACCGAGACATGTACCTGAGTGAGACAGATGGGAGAATACATCATGACTTCGCCTTAAAACGCACTTTCCCGGAGATGCCCAAGAAAATCTTCGAGAAGCAAGAATTTCATCTATTCATTTTACAGTCATCTGAGCCCCGCGATGCGATCAATCAGGACGGGGCTCTGCGCTGGATCACCGCAACTTCACAACAAACCCAGTCCTCCTTAAATAGCCAAAGATTCAAGTTCACTCGGCGTGCTAGATTTCCCGGGGTGAAATCCAATCTACACTTTTAACCCTCTTGCAGTCCGAGCGCGCTGGCCGTGCTTGCCGAGGCCGCTGCCGCCGCCGCCGGTGTTGGCTGCTTTTCGGCTGGGTTTGGGGATTTGTTTTCTGTTTTGCAGTTGTTGTTGTTGTTGGGGGCTAGGGGGTGCGCGAAGGTTCGGTGTGGGTTGGATTGGGGTGGTGGTTGGTGGTGAAATGCTTTTTTAAAAAAGGCGGGGAGGGGGGCGCAGGAGGGCGGGCGGGAGAGAGAGCGAGGAGAATGTGTCACCGCGCTGGGAAAGTTCAAGGTTACAGCCCCAAGCACTGCGGCAGGATCCCGGAGTGGTGATCGCAGGCGAAACTTTGCTGCGAGCCGACCATGTGTGTGCGCGAGGGGGAGCGTGAGCGAGTGCGCGCGGGTGGCGGGGCGCGCGCGGGAGAGGGCCGGGGTGGGGGCGGGGTGGGGGAGAAGGGAGAGGCCGGGGTGAGGGAGGGGGCGCGAGCGCAGATCTCCGGGGCGGAAGAGGCTCGCGGCGCGCGGTCCCCGGGTGCAGCAGCCGCCTCCCGTGCCGGCTCCTCCGCGCCGGGACGCCCGCCCGCCTCGCCCCGCGTCTGACCCGGCCGAGCGAGGAGGCTGCTCTTGCCGCCGCTGCCCAGAGCCCAGGGGGATCGAAACGATCTCCTGAAAAATTCCACACGATAAATCCCGCTCTCCCGCTCAGCTCCAAACTCCTCTCTTTTCTGCTCTGGGCTCTTTTTTTCCCCTCCCTCTCTCGCTTTCTTTCGTTGCAAAACTTGGAAGTTGAAAAATTCACCGGTTCCACCCTCTGGACCCCGCTGGAGCTCTCTCCAAATCAGACTTAAGGATTGTTTTATTATTTAATTACACAATCATCGCTTTACTCCTCCTCCTGCAAACGCGCATTCCTTTTGCACCAGCCTCTCCACACACCCCGCCCCCCACCTTCCTCCTCCTCCTCCTCCTCCTCCTTCTCCTCTCTCCTCTCTCTCTCCCTCATTTGTTGAATTTGTTAAAGGTATCCTACCGGTGCGACAGAACCATGACTTTTTTTTTTTTTTTTCCAAAATAGCTCTTCTTTCCGCCACCCTCCCCACACCACCACACACACATACACACCCCCGAAAACCCGCCCTGGAAGAGGTATTTCGGTGCTCGCTGCGACTCTTTAAGCCGCATGAACATCCGAGTGGGAGAGCACTGAACCGGTCTGGGCCCGAGAAAGGAACGAATGGAAAATTCCCTCACACCCAGGCCGGGGCTGGGGCGCCGACACTCGCACCCGGGGCGGGTGCGGTCTGCCGAGCCCGCGGCTGAAGGAGGCGAGGGAGCCGAGGAGCCGGAGGCCTGAGCGAACTTGGGCTCAAGTAGTTGGGGAGCGCCGGCGCGGACAAGGGGGGCGCCGCGCCCAGCCCCCGGCTACCCCTCCCGGAGCCCGCGCTCGCGGGCAGGGAGGGGGTGCCGGGTCCTCCCCACCGCGGCCTGGCACCCTGGGCACTTGCCGCGCGAGGCGCTTCGCCGCGGTTTGCCGCCCTCCCTGGGGGTGCCCGGTGCACGTGGCCTCGTTCGGAGCGGGAGGACCTGGCCGAGCCGCTGCCACCGCCTCCTGCTCCCTCCTCCTCCTCCTGCAGCCTCGCTGGCTCACTCCCAATCCCCACCCCCCGGGGCCCGGGACGCCGGCGAAAGCGGCTCCCTCCCCGCCGGGGTGCAGGCAGGGCGGGGCCGCGGCGCGCCCGGGGCTGCGGGGCGGGCGGGCGCGCGCGCGGGGTGCGTGTGCCGTTAGGCCCTCCGGAGGCGGCCGGCCTGGAGCCGCTGCACTCCCGCGACGCGCCCCGCCCCCACCCTGGCTGCGAGGGGCAGGCCCCGAATGAATGAACTTGATTCCCGGGAGTTTGAGGCAGGCGGTTTGCCTTGCACCCTTTCTACAACACACACACGCACACCCCGCCCCCCAAATCCGGTTTTCTGCTCGGGGTGGGTGGGGAAGAGGTGGAAGCAAAGTCTGCCCAGACAATGGAGAGAGGAAAAGTGAGTGCCTGGGGCTCCGCGTCTCCCTAGCAGGGGGCTGCTCGGGGGCGGCTGGGGCCTTGACCGGGCCTCTGCTGGCTGGTCCCCAGGGCGAGGCCGCCCCCGCTTCCGACGGCGGTGTTGGTGTGTCTCGAGGCTGGCCGCTGATTACCCTGTCTTCTTCCTTCTTGATTTTTTCTCCCTCAACTTTCTCCTCTCTCAGTCTCTACTCTCCCGCTTCTGCCCACCGTCCCCCCTTCCCTCCCCCAGCGGCCCTGAAGGAACCAGTGACTTTTTCCTTCCCCAAGCAGGAGTTATCCACATCAAGCATTTCACAACGACACATCAAGAAAAGTAGGCAGGTTCAAGTCAACCATGAAATGGTCACTTTTTAACCCCGTCCTGTCCTCATTAGGGAAATGCTCAAACACAGTCCGTTTTCAAAGAGCGCTCTTAATGAGGCGAGCTTGCCAAGTCCACCAGCTGCAGCCCCCGTAAACCAAGGGCCCAGAGAAGAAAGGCGCTGGGGGGTGGGGAGTTAGGAGGCCGTGCAGTGGGGGGCGGTGGGTCTGGGGAGACAGGTAAAGTCGGGGAAATTGCGAGAACCCCCGCGAGTTAACCCTTTTGGGCACACGCCTCCGGCAGCAGCCTCCCCGCTCCCCTGTTCCCCGCCCAGCAAATCCTCTAGTCAGCGTTCTGACAGCGTTAATTTCCTTTGTGCGGGTCATTTCTTCTTTTTGAAAAGCTCGGATAAAGTTGACAGTCTTTAAAGATGAAAGAAATGAGGTGACAGTCGGGGTTAATCCAAATAAGTACTCATTTCTCTCTCAGAAATTTTTAGGCAACCTCATCTTAGATTCAAAAAAAAAAAATCCAAAGCATCACTTTGTATTGCACATTACACTGCATCCCTTTTCTCACCCTCACCAGATCCTGAGGGGAGGGGGCGGGGAAGCTCTACTGATAATACCAGCTTTAACTACTGGAGTTTCCCTTTGAACAAATATTCAATTTAACTGGAGTTAATTTACCATAAAAGACATTCCCCTTGGCAGGAATGCACTCATATCCTTGAACACACCTCTTTGAATGCCTGGACTCTTACAGAAGCCATTATTTCGGGTCTCTTTAAAAATCCAATGCCCATCTCTCTCCTTCTCTCCCTCCCTCCCTTCTTCCCTCCCTCCTCACACCACCCCCAGTGAAATCCTGGCACCCAGAGAGCTCTCCTTTCAGCCAGAGAGCCCAGAACCAGCCGGTGTCCCCTGGCAAAAGAGGCCCAGTGCTGAGCCCTGGGCAAGTGTCTCCAGACATCGCCACCCCTCCTCCCCTTATTGGTTTCCCTTCCCAACAGAAACCATTTCCTTTTGCCACAAAAACTAGGTTGCATCCAAAAGTTTCTCACAAGCTTAAAAAAGAAAAACGAAAAGTTGACAACCATTACACAGAAGAGCTCACAAAAGCTGCAGCAGCACCGGGGCGAAGAAGCAGCGTCAGACCCAGGTAAGACCTTGGAGAAGTGAACATGGCTGGGGCCTCCCAGGCCCATCACTTAGGGGTTCACTTCTCTTCCAGGTGCCCCACGTTGGCAGGGTGCTTGTGGCTGGGTGCACTTTGATGATCATTGAAAATGCTTGGTAGTTTGGGGTTTTGATTTGTTTCCAAGAAAAAGGAAAATGAGAAAGGAGTAATGTCGAGGCCAGGAGTACCAAAAAGGAGTGAAGAATTAGCAACAGAGACATCCTGGAAGGGAGGGCTCATGGGGGTACTCAGTTTATGTGGCTTTGACTGTCCTCTCAGGCCTTGGAGCCACGGTGGGGGATAGCTGACATCCCCCAAGACGCTGTCTCTTGTCCAGCCAAACCCAGGGTCACTGCAGGCCTTCCCAGGAAGAACGCTAGGGAGTCTTTTTTAATGAAGGACTGGTGGATCTGGGTGCATGGGAAGTCTGGCTTCTCTCAGCACAACACTTGGCCATCACCTTTGGTGTGAGAAATGCCAATCTTTTAAATCCCAGGTAAAAGAACAGAGAGGAAGAACTGAGAAAGTACATGCATTTGGTTCACTTTCCCTTTTTTCCAGCATTGTGTCATGGTATTATGAGTGGTTTTAAAATATCTCTGAAAAGTTTCTGATAGTATCAAAATGGGCCGGACACTTGTCAGACTTTGTTACTTACCTCTCCTAAACTCTCATCTTTTCCTTCCACACTGAAAGGGTTAAAGCACTGGTAAGACAGGCCACTTTCATTCACCCCAAAACCTGGCTGAGGAGCTGGAAAGAAGTGAATGACTCTCTCAGCAATAGGCAAATTTGATATTTCAGTATTCCCAAAGATTTCCCACCTAGATCACCTATTCCTTGCTACCTTATAGGGAAAAAAGTTTCTTTTCTAACTGCCAGAAAGTTTATTGATTTCTAAAAGGAATGCCAGTGCTTCAGGTGATTAGATTTTTCAAAATCCAATCATATTTGGAAATAAGCAATGCTACCCAATTTGAATCTTTCACTACTGACTTCCACAGAGAAGTCTGACATCTCAGATATCTCCTAATCTTGTCTTTCTTTTAACCTTTTCCTCTCTAAAGAAACTGCAGCGACAGGTTGCAAATCCTGGGCAGTTTCACGAAAGGTTTCTTGGAGCTTAACGAAGCTGTCATTTTCAATACACCCGAGGACTTTTTTTTTTAGCTATTGCATGTGATTTGCAAGAAGGCTCAACAATTCCACACACCCTGGCTGCATTGCCAATATCAATATTTAAAAACTACATACAAAAGAGACAGATGACCTCCTGACCCTAGAAAACAGGCCTGCAAAACTGCAAGTATGACCAGGGACCTTTCCTTCTTCCAAATGAGCCACAAAAATCATACATCTGTAACCTGGAAAACACAAATTTATATCCACAAGCAGGAACACCAAAAATCCACTCATAAATGCATGTATAAACAACCAACAAGTACTGAAATTGCCTGCACTTGATGAGAATTGCAAAATCATGCCCGGCTCTCAGCCCTTAAACTACTACTGTAAAATTAGGGTAGCAATTTTTCCCCACTAGTGTATACACAAGCGGTTAGTTTCCCCACCCCCATTGCCAGCCCTTTGCCTTTCACTGAAATGAATAAATAACCTTGGACTTTTTTCCCTTCCTTGGGGAGCTGTTTGGTGTCCCCTGAGGACAAAACTAAATGAGAAAAAATGATGCTG